ATCCGCCATGATCAAGTGGGTGTTCCTCAGTGCTATTCATGAGTACCGATTTGTCTGTACGGTGTCAGAGATCTGAAGGCAAGTGAACTTTAAAGCACTGGAGGGGCCTAGCAAGCCTAGTAAACAGTTTCAGGCTCACACCCCTGACTACTCACCTCATCCACAGAGACGGCAAAACAAAGATCTAACCATGCCCAGCTTCCAGCACCTCCTTGCCAGCCTTGTGTCTGATTGTTTCTGGACACAGGAGAAGGTGTGTAGCTTCTGGTGGCCACGGTGTATTTTACCTCGATCTGTTTTTCAGTGACAAGCTCACCAGTGGGGGGGTATTAACAGCTGCAAGGAGCCACAGAGTTGGCCTGGTCTAGTTTCCTTGATAGTCGCACGTCATGGGCTTTCCAGGTTAGATCTGTGGCTTCTGGACACCGTGTACCTTTCAGTTCCTGAGAAGCTGTGACAGTTCCTCAGGCAGTGAAGCATTCATGTTGCTTACTGCTTCTCCGTATGTTTGTTCCCTTAGAAGTCAAGGCAGCCTGGGAGCTTGACGGGACAGTTGGTCTAAGACATTCATCTTTCAGACCCAGTATGGCTCATAGCTTGCAAACGTCATTGTATCCTGGCAACTACAACTGTATTGGTCCTGGGAATTGCCATTGTATTCTGTTTCTGATAAGGTTACAAAAACTCTGATTGCTCTTAATAAAAACTGCCCCAGCCTCAGTCTTTCTGTGGCCCCTCCAACCCAAAAATGGTTTCATTTCTTTCTGTCCATATCAGGTCACCTTGGTCCAGTAAGCAAGCATAAGCACTTACAGACGGCTGCAACTCAAATCCGTTAAATGGCATTGGTTCTGCTCACGCACTATTGTTTGTTAATTTGCTATGATGCTGACCTGTCTGTGTTGTTATCAATGTTGCTTGAGTAGTTCACCAATATATTATCAGCTTTTTGCTTCAATACACCAGCTTACCAAGGGTGGTCTTTGTTTCTGACTTTATCATATTTTCTATTAATTGATTAAAGTAGACAAGTCCCAGATAGGCACCTCCTGTGACGTCAGCAACAGATTCTGTTGGTAATCCAAATCTCACTCTTTAGTATAGAACTGTGGCTTGAGTAGGATTGTTTGGCGTGATGAGAGAAGGTCTGTGGTGTGGGACAGAGTGAGGTCTGGGATAGTTTATCTGACACCTTGCTAAGATACCTACACTAGCCACAGGTAAGGCTGTGGATGGTTCCATGTCTTCAGTCTTTATCACCACATTCTTGTAAAGGATGTGATGTCTGAGTTATGGGCCTGAAGTCCTAGGTATTGTCTACCTATTGATAGAAGTCAGCCTGGGTCACCTCATCATCATGCTCCAATTGTGACTCAGCTGATTGCTCAATTGCTTACCCTGTGTCCTGTAGCTTGAAGCAGGTCTTTTATTTTTGGTCAGCTTAGTCATGCTCTGCTATCAAGGCAGTTCTGACAACAGTGCCCACCCAAGAGGAAAGATAAGATATTCCCATCACCATTAGCAGGACCTCATGGCTGTGGACCTCCTTAGTCCCATTATCTACTCCTGTGGGATTTATAATACGGGGACAATTAGAACCGGCATCAGCTGGAGATTAGAATCAACAGATAGTCTACAAGACCCGTGTCTATTTAAACCACAAACCAGAGCCAGAAAGTATAAGAAAGAAATGTTAGGGAAACAGATTGGGATTTCTAAACACAGCATATGTAAGTGGCTTCTCTAATCCATTTACACCCCTGCCAATTGAGTGCCCCCTGTGCAATTCTCATTTTCTCTGTGTTTGAATAGTGTCAATGGCGTACGTGGGTGTAGTTTCCCACCGCTTGCCTATACTTCGGTAAGTAAGCAGGATTAAATTCTTCAGATCAGCAAGGTAGACTTAAGAGGAATCTTATCTTTGATCTATTGCAGCTGCCTTATCTTAGGTGAATAGATGTTTGTTCAAATCCCTAGTAACCATGTAAAGCTCCAGTTGTAGTGGCATGTTTGTAACCACGGCACTGAAGACTGAGACAAGCAGAAACCCAGTTCCTGGCGAACCAGTCAAACCTAAACGGCAATCTCCAGACTCAGTGTGAGATCCTCTCTCAAAAACCAAGGGGGAGATCCAGGAGAAAAATTCAATATGCCTCCATACTCAACTGCAAGGATAAGCACATCCGTGTGTATATACACACACACACACACACACACACACACACACACCACACTAAAATCATTTACACACATTTGTGCACTAAGAAACAGTGGGGCCATGCCCCTTGACAAAAGAAACAAAATGTATATTTTTTCTTTTTGTTTAAGTGACTGAGGGTCTAATTCTGCCCCCAGTTTGAGATCTTTGGAGGAATCTTGGACCCAGTTTGTCCTATTCTCACGAATAGAGGAAGAAAGGAAGTCTTATTCAAATTGCCCTTTCCCTACCCACACTCCCTAGCTAACCTGGAGGGCCATCTGTCAAGTAGTCACAATGGGTGCAGTCTATTCTGTGCGAGAATGGGCTACAACAAGTAGCGGGATTTCCTCATCTGAGCTTGGTTTCAATCCCCCTCCATCTTCTAGTTTCCTCCTTTGGTCTTTCTCAGGCCATATTGCCTTCTTGTCCCTCCTTGCTGGGACTCAGGCACTGTTTTCCATTCAAGAGATTTGATGCTGCCATCCTTCAAAACACTCTACTTGCCGTGGGATTGACAGGCACAACAGGATTGTAGATCCCAACAGGGAGAGGTCTTAGAACCATTTCTAGTCTAGCAGAGGGTATCCACTTGGAAGGAAAAGTTGCCATAATCTCAGGGATTATAAAGGTAGAAGAGTCCCTGGTACAACTGGTGGGCATTTGCGAGGACACACTTGTCCATTAGGATAACTCGCTGTCAGTAGTGACCAGATCAGGGACGGACTAAGGGTGATGGTGTCTGAAGTCTAAAATTAGAGTCCAGACTACAACATGCAGTGAAACTAGATGCCAGAAGGTATAGCAGGGCCTTCTATCCATGGGAAGCGTGAACCAGGAAGCAGGGAGAGCAATGCCTGGACTTGAGAGCACAGAAGTCTGGCTTCAGAGCCCAGCCCTTGTCCCCTTTCCTTTCTCCTGACAGTGCTTGGCAGACACTGTTAAGTTGTTGGGAAACACAGAGGCCTGCAACAGCCCCTAAGCCTCACAGAGCAAGAGAGCAGCCCCCTTCACCTCCTCCAACCTTCCCCCTCCTCCCGCCCAGCCAACCCCTAGTTCAGTCCTCCTCATGGATAAGGGTTCCCATAAGGAACCAAACTAGTCCAACACAATAGGTTGGGCAGGGCCAGGCCCCTCCCCAGGCATTAAGACTGAGCATGACACCCCACCATAGGGAGTGGGCTCCTGCAAACTGTCTCATGTACTGGGTTTGTATCATGGTCCTGCTGCCTCTGACCATGGCATCTCACAGTTTGGTACAAGATGAGCAATATTCCCTCTCTTTCACAAATGAAACAAGTGGAGATGTTGTTACTGAAGATGTTGTATAGCATCGCAAATAACAGCAAAGAAACCTTTAAGTCAACTCTTCCTGCTATTATGCAAGGGCTTAGTGTCTGGATGTCAGGGAAGGCACTCGTATGATGAAGTCTGACAGATTAGTGAGCAGCTCTTGGTTGAGATGAACAAAAAGGTTCAAGCTGCAGGAAAGCACTAGTGAAAACGTGTCTGGAGATGAGGGTCAGGTTGCCAGCTAAATCCACGAGGCACACTTAACTTTCATTTCACAAGTTTATTCGGCATTAAGGAAAAGCACGGATGGGTCAAACAACCGTACACAAGCAGCAGAACCACCAGGACATCGGGAAATTGCACGTGGGTTCCAATGCTCCCCAGCAGAAATGCGGATGCTGATGAGTTGATTTGTGCTGACAGGAGCAGGGGACCCTCATCACAGGGAAGCAAACGGGTCTGGGCATCACTAACTCAGACAACTCCCCGGATCTGCAGCCTCTGTGTGCACAATGATTCACTACAGAAATTCAATTATAAATAACTCTACCTGCACTCCTCAGTTGGCTGGGTATCATCATGCATTAAAAGACGTTGTCTATCAATAAAAACAATCCAAGTTTGATCCCACAAAAGTTTAAATAAGGCCAAAATGTTTAAACTGTAAAACAGTTTGTAGTCCCGTTAATTTTTTCCTCCAATATACACAGTGTTCTTGTAGAAGCAATGTGTAAACCTCATGGGGAGTGAATGAAAACACAACTTACTCAGTCTGCCTAGAGCAGACCAAAATAATGTATGGACAGCACACGACTGGAAAAACTACATTCATGTCATTACAAGTCCATTTTATCATACATTATCCTCATTCATGGCTTCTTTTCTCTACTCTTCCTTTTTATTTAATTTTTTGAGAGAGTATATCACCATAGAGCAGTGGTTCTCATCCTTCCTAATGCTGTGACCCTTTAATACATTTCCTCTTGTTGTGATGACCCGCTGACCATAAAATTATTTTTGTTGCTTCTTCATAACTGCAATTTTGCTGCTGTTACGAATCGCAACGTAAATACCTGTTTTCCAATGGTATTGGGTGAACCCTGTGAAAATGTCATTCAAACTTCAAAGGTGTCATGACCTGTAGGTTAAGAACCACTGTTATATAGCAATGTTTGGCCTAGAATTGGCTACATAAACCTGTCTTGTCTGAACTCACAGAGATGTGGAGTGCTAGAGAGAAATGCATCAGCCCATCCAGTTCTCATTGTACAATTCATTTTTTGTTCAAAATTATTTTCTCATACAATGTATTCTGAACTTGGTTTATCACTGACTTGAATCACAAGCGTTTTTACATGTAACCACACACAGGACTTTTTGCTATTCTACTTTTGAATACTCAGGAATGCATCTTTCACAACAAATGGCAATTAATGGGAATACAGAAGTGCGTATCCTCATTTTAGCAATGCTTTTGTTGTTGAGGAGATGAGGTCATTTTCTCAAACACACACAGCGATCTTTATTCAAATTGAAATACAGCTTTATGCAAAGCCGGATCATTTTGTTCTCATTAGTCGTACAACAGTTCAAAACATAACTTTCAGGTTACTTTACTGCCTGCCTAGCTACATGTACTATTGATTTATAGATTTTCCACTAACCAGCTAATATACTTATCTCTTATTGTTAATCCTAGATGTAAAGACACTGGAGCTCTGGTAAATGACAGGGCTCCATGGATTCCTCCCTCTATATGCTCATGAGTAACTTGAACCCCAACATTTCTAAGCCGTGTGACATAAATGAGACTATCATCTCTTATAGGATCATGTTCACATGTGAGGATGTAAGTTAATGGCAAATGCTGTAACTGGGAGTCATTGACAGCCTGCTATCCACAAGTGCTGGATAGGAAGTGCTCAGTTTTCCAAGAATGGGCTCCGTGTAAACATGGTTCTTTTTATACTTCTCAGGAAGGAAGTCACTCCAGTTAACAAACTTAAAAAGATGTCTTGATCCTGGTGGCATGTGTTCATTTCTCAGTATGGCCTGGAGCAGTGCTGTGTCTTCAGTCACATATAGGGACGCCAACTTAATTGTCATCTCCCTGGACAGAATTGGACCATGTTCATACTCTCGATAAGATGGCAGAAAAGTATCAAGTGATTGTAGGCCAGGATATATCAAAGCTTGTGCCTTAATTCTGTCTTTAAATTCTGGATCATTCTGCAGCTAGAAATATAATGGATATTAATGAATCAATAGCCTTCAAACAATTTGTAATTTCATTTTAATAGCATGAGACAAACAGATTTATCCATCTGAAACACTAGAGATCTGTCTCACAATGTTTACACAGTTAGTGAGAGACATGAGCATGTCTCATTCCAGTGTCAACCGTGCAGAAACAAAGTACTCTCTGCTGTTCACACATTGATCGGCATATTACAACCAACCAGGAAGATGAGCAGTCACAGCCTAGCAATGATGATGGGATGAGTATCTTTCTGATGTTGGGTTTTCCTTCACATTTATTTGTTTGTTTTAGAAATTTAGCTTTTGTTGTTTACAATAAAGTCATGTTGTGCATCTTACTGTCCCTCTGTCTCGGTCTCCCAAGTGCTCAAATAATAAGTGTGCATTTCCAAGTCTAGTTTTCCTAAAATAATTTTTGACTTAAGTAATATAGTAAACAAAATCTACAAATAAAATGAGATACAACTGCTAAAACTCACATATAAAGTGAAGTCAAATGGAACTTGCAGTAAGCCTAGGCTTCACCTGTGAGCATGAGTATTTAAAACAGCACCATCCTCTACAACAGCTGTGCCCCAGTGGCTGCGTCTACTGCGGTGCTTTGGGTATCCCAAGGAGTGCAGAGTGTTCCCAAGACCATGACCTCATGAAAGCATAGGGCATGAAGGAAAGTCCTTGAACTCTCATGAGCTCATCGCATGGTTACCCATCTCACCAACTGCAAATTGCAGTACAATGGAAAGGAGGTTCTGCAACTTCAGAAAGACATGACGAAGTAAAAACTTTTCCTAAGAGAATCTTTCCATGGTTTCTTCTTCTTCTTCACAGTGACCCTGGGGTAGGACGTTTCTGAATAAAAGGCAGGTCCCTCTGAAGACTAGAGTAAGAGTCGATTGGAACCATAGCGTCACAACTGGGGCAGGGTCATGCGCTAACTCCCTCATGTATAGTGGGATTGCTGCCTCCAAGTAAGCCAGCACAAACTCTTGTACTTGAGCAACAGCAAGGTTCAACCTTAGTTTAGCCTTTCAATTTTATATGCAAATACAGAAGAAAATGAGAAATTAGTAAAATCAGAGGCTGAGGATGTGGCTCTCAGTCAGTACAGTTTATGCTGACTTGAGTACAGATGTCCAGAAACAACAAAGCTAGTGATTGGGAGAAAGTCCTTCTGTGTATATGTTTGTCTTATTGGTTGATAAATAAAGCACTGTTGGCCAATAGGGAAGCAAGAGAGGTGGGACTAGGGGTGGAGGAGGATTCTGGGAAATGTAGTCAAGAAGAGAGTTGCCGTGTGATCCTGGAAAGAGAGGACGCAGCCTCATTCGTCCTCGGTAAGATAAGACCTTGTAAAAATACAAATTAATAATTATGGGCCAATAATTAATTCAGAGCTAGCCATTAAGAAGCCATAACAAACAGACAACAGCTTCATAATTAATACAGAGTCCTGCGAGTTCATTTGGGACTGACGCAGCGGCTCTGGGACCAGGCTGGCAGGGAGAATGCATGTTACATGCTAGGGATAGCAGAAAAAAAACCCTGTTGCCCAGCAAAGTTAACCAGACGGCCCATCTGGCTGAGTCAGTGTTCTCCAGGCTCTATGATAGACCACATTTCAAACATAAGGTAAAACAAGAGAAAGGAAGACACTGAGTGTCAACCTCTGACTCCTACATTCGTGATTACATTCATGAACATGTACATGCTCATGAACACACGTGAATACTCACACAAGCACGTGCACCCACACACAGAAGCATTATATAAAAATTGTGACATTTAAAGGACGGAAAACAGAACAACAGTTCTGGTAGTAGTTGAAAACTCCACAATCATTAAATCAAAAGAAGCTGGGGAAAATGCCATAGCACACAGCCTTCAAGGGAAGAACCATGAGGGAGTGTCTGGGCTTTAAATTTTGCCACTCCTGTGCTGTCCTGGGTGACTCAATCTGTTTTTCCTTTTCTTTTGTTTTTTTCCCCCTTATGGCACTGTAATTGTAAAGGTGATGAGACCTGCCTCATCCCCTACCCAGGGTCCCAAAGGTGAAATGCTTCTCAGGAGCGGAGGAGGAGATAAAAGATTTCTATTGTCACTTCACACACAACCTGAGGGCCACGCTCTTCATCTCACGTGCTCGTTATTGTTCTGTTTCTACTCTAATAATCCTGTCCTGCTTCTAACTTCCCCATGCTTCTTCTTCTATTCCAAAGTCTCTTTGGTCAAAAGTGCATTCCTAGAGCAAGTGATAAGGAGCTGAGCCGTTTACCATGGCAACACAAGGGTCCAAGGCCGCAGGAGCAAAACTTCAAGCAGACAGGGAGGGCACAGTACCCAGCGACAACTTTAAGACACAGATCTATTGTGAGCAGACAGGCAAGTGAAGACTAACTAGGCGGGCTTTAGGGTTAATGTGAGGTTAGCTTGGGACAGCGCTTTCCCATCTGCTGGCGGAGTGAAGCCACGAGGCTTTTGTCTGCTCTCTCTCAGAGAACTATGGTTCAACAACTTTAGACATAAGCTTTGTCTTTGGGCATCTGTGAATGTCTCAACTGGGGTCTCTTTGCTTTGGATACTAACACTGGTCAACTCTCTGCCAAGGAAGATAATTACAGAGGGGCAGACTTCTAAGTTCATACAAAGACCTGGTTGAGAGAGTAAGGGTATTGACTGTGATTACTTTCTTGCCAGAATCATGAATACCTGGGGGGAGTCATTCAATATTCCCAAGTGCATAGGGGAAAATGTGCCCAGTAATTGATTAATACACTGCTGGAGTTTTGGGCACAAATCGCATCATAGAAAGTGAATGCTATGGCTTCACAAGGAATTTACAGTAAGGACAGTGACTATTTGTAAAGCAAGTCCTCCCACCACCCTGTGTGTTGGCCTCCCCCATTGGAAAATGAATCCGGTGGGTTAGCCCCATGATCTGTCAGCTGCGTTCTCATTGCATGGTCCGGTGGTCCATGGCCTGTAATAAAGCTAGGAAAACTTCGTGGTGGCAGTATCTGTCTTTACTACTAAGAGATCATTTTTTTAAACTTTCTTGTAAAATATTTTCAAATAAAAAAAATCACGAGTACTCCTTAATACCTGTGTTTTCATCATGAACTCCAAAATAGTGGATCTCAGTACAGTAAATCCATTTCAGAATATCCTATGCCAAGTCCCCTAGAGAAACAGTGGTGGCCTTTTCACTGAAGAGGACAGTGGGGCAATTATGGAAGAATTGGAAGTGTCTAAATTTACCCAGGACACTGAAGACCTCAGGAGCACCAATGGAAATCTTGACTTTTGCAAGTCAGATGGATCACAGGGTCTGCTCTGGGCCAAGCATCTGAACCCTGGAGCACAGAAAGAAGACTTGGTAGCCACATCTCTGCTTTTCATTGTCTTTCCACATCTGACAGCCTTTTGTGTCACCGCACCAGGACTGTGGGAGAGGCTTCACCCTTGCTGCAGAATCTAAAGATTGCCCAGTACTCTGTAAAAACTTTGAGACTTTCTTCCAATTGCCCTAATGTCAGAACCTTGCGAGGAGAAACAGTGCGTTGTAAGGCTAACTCCCATCTCTCCAAATATAGACAAACTTGGGATTTTTCTAAAGAGGACAGCAATAAATATGGTGTCGTAAACTGCTTGGCCTAGTTACAGACTTCTCTTGCACACATTCTAACAGAACTGAAGTAGCCACTCCAGTAAAATGCAAAGGCATTTTGGGTAGCAGTAAGGCAAGGTTACTTAAGGCTTCCACTGCGGCTGGTGAAATAAGGGACACAAAATGTAGCGGGCGGGCATAAGGACTTAGGAGCTTTGTGGGCCCTACTGGCATCCCGGCACGGCAGAGAGAAATCACCATGGTAGCTCTGTGCAGCCATTTCTTTTCTCAACCCTGCAGTGCGTGCTCCTAAACCCCTAATCACCTTTGCTGATGTGTTTCTCTTATAATCTATAATCAAAAATGGTATTACATTTATTTATTATCAAATTATTATACGTGTGTCTAGCACCTTTACCTGGTAGGCCTATTTTCTAGTCCTCAGTAATTTCATTTTCTTAAAAACATTTAATCTACTAGCTCTAAGCTTTTCTTAAACAAGCTTTTTGTTAATCAAGCACACAGAACTTTTCCTTATCTTAGTTCAAGTCACAGGCCAAAATTGACTTGTTAATGAATTTTTACCAGCTACAAACACAGGATTAGTATTCCGGCAACAACTATCCCATGTATTGTAGTATTTTTCACCATAATCATATACACTTGTGTTTATATATTTAATGCCTAATGAAGAGAATCAGTTCCTAAATTTAAGAGCAATTTTCTTTAATTCCAGTGGACCAATGATCATTCCTCATCATATGATAAATGTGTGTGTGTGTATTGAGACAGGGTTTCTCTATGTATGCTTGGCTGTCCTGGAACTCACTCTAAGTTAGACTTACTTGGAACTCAGAGATCTGCCTGCCTCTGCACCTTGAGTGCTAGGATAGTATATATATATATATATATATATATATATATATATATATATATAGCATATGCTATTATGCTATTTATGTGTGTATATATACATACACTTTAAAGTTTATTCTGTTAAATACAAAGTGGTCTATCTTTATTCATCACGATAGTTTGTGTTTTTTAAAAATTTTTACTGCTGACACTTTCTGAGCCATTACAGTATGTAACTATCCTTTTATTTTTACTTAACTAACCCATTCATTATCCTCTTATCTTTCTAAATATCTTGGCAGAGCCTTGAAAATGAAGCTTCATAGGGAAACATCACAACACTGCTGCTCCCTGGTGAAGTGACCCATTTTAAACCTCTAACTCATTGTGTTAGTTTTCAGTCTCACAGTTTAGAATAGTGTCATTCTTTTCTGATGGGACATTAGCAGCGGGAATACTGAGTGGGGCCAGAGCAGCCGAGGTCTTGTTGCAAGTCCTGATTCCAGAAGGACCTCAGGTCTGGTTAACAGCTCAGCTGCTGCACCCTTGGTAAGTTCTTTGTTATCTGGGGTTTGTACAATGGTGAAATGTTTCAAGTTTTTTGTTTGTTGTTTTTTTGAGACAGGGTTTCTCTGTATTGTTTTGGAGGCAGCTCTGTAGACCAGGCTGGCCTGGAACTCACAGAGATCTGCCTGCCTCTGCCTCCCGAGTTCTGGGATTAAAGGCGTGTGCCACCAACGCCCCAAGGGGGTTTGTACAATGGAAGTCTGACATCACAGTTCGTGCAGTTCAGAAGTGGACCCGGCGTATCAATTCATTCATGTTGCCAGGCAAAACTCACAATAACATTCATGCGTTAAAAGTTTTGTTAATGAGAAAGATGAAAGAAAACTTGAAAATGAGAAATACACTATCCATAGTGAATGTAGACAGTGTCTTAAAGACATAGACAATGCTCAGTATCTACGCCAACAAATAGTAGTTATGAAAAGGACAGGAAAATATTCTGTAACATGAATTAACGAGAACAACAGACAAGCAGACACCCCAGAGAACTAAATTATATGCACTTTTTACTTATACTTTAAAATGCAATAATTTATTGCTAATGAAAGACATGCATCTTTATCTGTGTAAAAATAAGATAATTTTCAATATGATTATGGCATGAACCGTATTCATATTAATATTTCTAGTGTCTATGAACAGGGGTAAGCAATGTCCCTCCATTCTTAAACATCATTGAGTTTTCCATTCGTGCAAATATCCTGTGTTTATATATTAAGACTAAATATGAACGAAATGGGATTCCCAAGGAAATCATTGCACTTTATAAATGAAATAGTTTTATTAGTTATATTTTTTAAAATCACAAAACACACAGCTTTATCTTCTAGTACATCTCTCTTCTGTTTTTCTGTTAGAAAATCATGATCTGCTTTAGGACATTGGTTTTTTGGTGCAATGATGACTCCATCAAACAGAACATTAAAATTATTAAAGAAAAAATTTGAGTGTTTTTAGGGCTATAGGAGATGGCATTTAATTGGGATTTTATACTAGCTGAATAATTAAAAATGTAGTTTCCTTAAATTAATTAGTCTTGAAGAAGGAAACATATTGATTGGTTGAATGGTTAGAAACAATTAAAAAAAAAGAAGCACCTGGAAGTATTCAATAAAATTCAATAAATACAAATTTTGAGACTACATCTATTTTATAAAAGGAAACTAATCTATATAAAGTAAAATAGACAATGTTGTTCTACAAACACATTTGAAGGAATATGAGTCATATATTTGACTGAGATTACTTTTAAAATATTAGTTATTGGAGAGTAATTATTTAGCAATACTCAGCAAGAATTTTAATATGAGGTGTCTTGATTTTATTATAGTAGGAATTCTTCTATCCAGTCGAGATATGTTGTGTTTGACAATCTACGTGTTATCACATTGCCATGGTTCCTCAATATCAACTTGCCTGGGCTTAGAACCATGTAAGGGATTGTACCACATCTCTGGGAGTATCTCTAGAGTTCCACAGAGAGATTTAACTAAGAGGAAAATATTCACCTGTTACCTCCATATGGTTTGAGCTTCAGGAGAACAAAGGAAAAACAATCAGGAATGGAGCTGAGTACCACCAGCAAACACCTCTTTCTGAATGCTTCACTTGGGAATAAGAGCAAAAAGCCTTTCCATCAGCCACCATGATAGACAACTGTTGCAACCTACCAGACCATTTTCCTGCCACAATTCAGGATCCATTATAACTCCTTTTCCCTCCTTCAATCGCTTCTTGTGAGATGTTTAGTTTCAGAGGGGGGAAAAAAGTAACTAATTTACTCATCAACTCTAATGATACACAAATATTGAAAAGTTTTTTAACAGCTTTCCTTGTAAATTCAGTAAGTTGTGAACAAAAATATCCTCATTAAAAATGAATAGAGTTAGAGTAGTTCCAAGAGACTGGTAACTTTTTCCCCAACATTGGCAGGTGAGCCAGGGTCATTGTGACAGTTTTCTTTCTTTTATCTCTTTCTTTTACCACATGACTATTTATTTCATTAGTGCATAATGGCAACACTATTTGTAGCACACCAAATGCAATGGCGTGAGACTAGGGACATAGCATTGTTTTTGAGTTGCTGGGCCCATAGGCTCACAAGTTCAAGGCCTACGCAAACTACAGATCAGTTCAGGGAAAGTTATCCAAAGCCCATTTTGAAATAGTAGTCTTAAAAGAGAAGGTTGCATAATTCTGTGGTAGAGTATCTACCTGGCAAGCATACAGCCTTGGGTTCAATGCCCAGAAACTGCCTCCTACTTCCTAAAACCTTCCTTAGCATTAGACAAAGCCACATATAAAACTAATGTTCATGAAAATGGCTTTCTTGTTGAGTTCAAATTTCACAGATAGAACTTTAAAAGTAGTGCAAATACACCTAAAACACAACTTTTGTGTGTTAGGATTAAAACATACATAGCATATAATGCATACCAGTTGGGTCACTATTGCTGTCAAGGTACCCCCCGAACTGTCTCCCATAATGCAGATTCTAGAGGGATCCACTCCAAATTCTGCAAGGACTTTAGCCCAGAGAAAGAACTTGATCACAAAAACACAGTCTTCAAGGGAAGCTGGGAATTGATACTGAGGAGCAAGTCTGTAGCTGTAGAGGTAAATTAAGCAAAACACAGCAAAGGCCTTGTTAAAACCATGCAACTAAATATCTCTCACTCTCACCAACAGACACATTTTGAATCACTAATTAACCCCGAGCTCACTGGTAACTTCTGTCATAAAAGTAGATTCCAGTTGAGGGTTTCAGGTATTGGTTCTAAGGATGAATGAATGAGTGAGACATGTGAGTTATCCCTGGGAAGCCTGTGCATTTCAGTGGCCCCCAGTGTGCTTCGTGACTCAAAACCAACTAAGAATCATTGTCAGGATTTTCGAGATACTTTAAATTCAGACAATATAATAGTAAATATGACTATTTTGAAGAATGTGACATATGAATATTTTAAATATACCAATGGATCTTACTAAAACGTTCCGATTGATTCATACAGTTGAAATAAGACTAAGTAGTGTTACATTAGCTTGTCTTTAGCAGTGTGTGCCTGCACTCTATCATAGGAACATCAACTTGACTATTTCATTGTTTAACTCTATCACCTTCAAATCCATTGGAATTGGCAAACTATTTATGTGATTATGTTGAGCAATGTTCATCAGATGGTCCTTGTGTTTACATTTTTAATCTGTGCCTGGAAGATTTACAATTAGCACGATCTGAGCATAACAGTACTAAAACATTAATATTCTTCAAGGTAAAGAATAGCCAATACCTTAAAATGCAACCTGTAGAATTCTTTTTTTTTTTCGTTAGTTTTTTTTTAAATTTTAAATAGCTTGTTTTACATGTCAATCCCAGTTCCCTCTCCCTCCCCTCCTCCCGCACTCCCCTTCCACCCTCCCTCCCACCCTATTGCCACATACTTCCACATAGGGGATGTCTAGAGTCTATCATTTTACTCTTGGTAGGGTCAAGGCACTCCCCTAAGAGTCCAGGCTGAGAGAGCATCTCTCTTTGTGCTATAGGCACATGAAGACAGATTGTATACCAGGAATAGACACTGATCCACAGCTCAGAGCCCCATAGGTTGTCCAGGCCTTCTCACTGACACTCACATTTGGGGGGTCCAGATCAGTCCCATTCTGGCCTCCCCACTGTCGGTCTGGGGTCCAAGAGCACTCCCCTGTTCAGATCAGCTGTCTCTGCTGGTTTTGCCAGCCCATTCTTTGCCAATTTGCTCATCATTCCTCTCTCTCTATCACTGGGTTCCTTGGGTTCAGTTCAGTGCTTAGATGTGTGTTTGCCTCTGCTTCCATCAGTCCCAGGATGAAGGCTCCCGGATAAACAAATGTCACTATTTAAAATCCTTCCCTAAAGTTATATTGTGTTAAACTTAGTTGAAATGGCAGCAGTAAAGGCACTGCATAGTTGCTGTCACAATTTGTATATTTCTTAAAACTTAAGCAATTTGTCTGGTTCCATTTTGAAGTAATTATGAGCGGGACAGAACTGATCTCTCTAGTGTATCCTACCTGCAACCAATATACGCTCAACCATGAAATTCCTTAGAGTGATTCTGTCTGAGGCCGACAGTTCTGTACATCTATTTCTTCACTAGGGAACCGGAAAGAGGCATGCAGCAATTTCTTCACCCTCCTGCTGAGAGTCTCAGTGGCTCAGAGGACACATGGGAGGTCCTAAAGTAATAAGCACTTACTCATATTTTTGCTCCGTTATTGCAAAGGTTTGCAAAAGTCATGTCATGAAATATTTTAAGACTGATCATTTGGATAATATCTCGAAGTGTTCAGATTACTCAAAAATCTTCACCTAACTGGAATTAGAACCAAGAACAGCTCTAACCCCCACACAGCGACTACAAACAACTCACATAAAACCCAGTGTCTCAAGGAGATAATGAATAAACTTCCAAGGGATGTTACTAGCAGGTAAAATCGGGTGCTTTAGAATCCTGGAGTTCATCATCCCATGGATTTCATCGCTGTGTTAACAAAGATGCTTATCCCTCTGGTCTCATGCTTTCTCTACAGTTGTAGAAATAAAAGCAAAGACTGACGCCTTGAGGACACATTAACAGCAAAATCATAAGAAAACTGATATGAACAAATATCCATAGGATATGGGTAGTTGATGGCTTGGTGACAGGACACTGAAAAAGCCAACCTACATTGTGAAGGCAAGGGCTGTGGTAAGAAGTGTGATCATTCTCTTACTCTATTCCCAGAACAACAGCATCAAGCTTGTTTGCTGCCCATCTGTTCAGGTCGTCGTAAGCTGACATCTCTGAAATGAAAGAAACAAATATTAAAACGGTGTCCTGTAAATAGAAAACAATGGAAAGTAAGTGACTCTTAAGATGTGAGAGAATTGTGAGTTATCTCTGACTGATGGAAACTCGACAGTCTCCTCTTTCATTATCATGCAGATGTACACTCTGTCGGAGTCCAGGAAAAAAAGATCGTCTGTAACTCATTACCACCATATTCCACAGGACTCTTGGAGATGTATTAGAAAACCAGAAATTAAGTTGAAGATAACACTGTAGACAGTATTATAATTTTCACAAATACAGAGATACACCATAGTTATTCTTTTTAGGAACTTTTCAATGAAGAAGTATCAACTTACATAAGACAAGGTGTACTATTTGGTGTAATTAAAACAATTGAGTTTTTCTTTTACCAGAAGCTTGCATATTTGCAGAGGGTCATACATACTTAATAATCTTATAAGTAAACTTTAGGTTACCTTTCTGCATAGAATTGACAGTTTACATTTTCATTGAAATCAAATAAGGGCAGACTCGTACATTTGTAATTCCTTACAAAAGTTAACCATATAAAATACAGAGTTAATAAATTTAAAAGATGTAGAAAGAAAATATTTTCCTAAAGTTTTAAGATACCGTAATGTCAAGATTCTTTTTAGTTAGCAATATATACAATTCACCTACAAAGCATAAATTGCCATCTGTCACATTAATCATAAAAGCATAATAATTGCCAGAGAACAAATAAAAGAAACACGGAGTTATATCTTAGCAAATGTGTAGCTGGGAGTTCACAGCTTGGGGAAGCATGTATAGCTAATCATGTTTGAATTATAAAGTTACAGAGAACAGAGGCAGAACATAGACAAAATAACAAAATGTGTGCATCTACATGCCAATGTTTGACAGAAGATTTATCAAGAAATGAGTACCATTCACGAAATGTTTATCAATAACTCATGTGGCCATATTTTCACATCATGGAAGGTTGAGAAAGAAGGCAACAGAAGCAAAGAAGTGCCGGTGAGCAACCAGAAATGAAAGGCCAGGAAACAACGTAAGTGGTAATCTACAGAGTGTGCACAGGAACGAAAAGATGCTCAAAAGTTTGGGTCCAGACCATGTCATAAAGGGTAGGAGCTAATAGGGCTAAAGTAGAGCATGGTTGCCATTACTGGGGGATATTTGCATTTACTGTGTTCTTGTGCTGTTTATTTCCCCCTTTTAATCTTTGAGAAAAGAATAGAATGCTATCTGCTAAGGAATCCGTGTGACACACTAATGACCAGGTATGCATTCCAGTCCCAAGCTGAATTTATTTGAACTTAAATTCAGCAACAATGTTAAAGATGGAAAACAAGACCCCTGTCTACGGGATGGACATGAGAGCTAGGATGGAAACAGTAAAGAATAAAGCAGAAGACAATGCAGGCTCAACACCTAAAGAATGTAATAATAAATTCTGGGGATTTTTAAATATTTGTAAAGTCTAAACAATAACTTATTTCCACATGGTTTTAGTTTTTCTTTTTTTTATAGTGGCTGTAGCTGCAAATGAATGGATACAGTTAAGGAGAAAAAGGAAGTGCAAAGAAATTTCTTTCATTCAAGGCAACAGTGGAGATTACTGGTGTAGCAAAGCGGTCACTTTCATGTCACACAGCTTATAAAAGAATCAGAAGAGAAACACACAGACACTGCAGTGTATGGAAACACGTGTCAAGAAATAAAACATGACAGTATAATAACTTGAAACAGAAACCAGGGTCAACAGAGGTCAAGACAGAAGACACAGTACACACTTTAGGAGTCAACAAAGGGGGTAGGGACAATTGCAGGTAGAAGAAACACAAATCTAATGATGATTTGGAAGGAAACACCCCCAAGGAAAGCAGAGAGACTCATCTTGACCAAAAGATAAACAGGTCTTTCCCCAAGACACAGCTAGAGAGCAGTGAAGAAGGGATCAGTAAGATTTCAGTAAGATGCCGATAGTGTGAGTTGGGTAGGGGGAGACATGGCCTGGGAGATGCCAAACGTATGGACTTGTGTGCTGGAAGGGGTGGATAAGGCCAGAAACAGGATAGAAATTTAGAAACGTAATTGGAGTAAAACAGAGGGACTAACTGCTTTTGAGAGGTGGCATATTCCAGCAACGGCGAGAGCATAGATGACATGCTCAGCAGTAGCAGCAGCCTGAGTGCCCTGATTTCTGATGATAGGACTGTTGCTTCCTCCTCTCCCTAACTGTGGGACTTTGAAAACATTCCTTCATCTGTTTCTTCACCACTCAAACACTGATGACAATGCCTGTCTGAACAATGCTCACTCAGTTGGCTGCCCCGATGAACACAATAGCATTTCTGCTTATCCTGAAGTGTTCCAGCTATGAGGACAAAATAATGGATCAATAATTAAGCTATAGGCTCTTTGAGAAAAAGAGTGTTATCGCTTGTTTCTTAAGTACATGGTACAGTATTACAACATATTGCTGCGGAGTGAACCCATAAGTCATCAAAAGTCTGAAATGGTGTTTATGTGTGCTCATATGTGTGGGTGTGTCTAGACGTAGGTCTGTGTGTCTGTCTTAGCTACTGAAGTAGTCTCTAGACAGCAACTAATGACTCAGCTTTATTTTATTATTTTAACAAAAGGTTATGTTTTGGATTCCAGGCTCTGTATTATTTTTATATCACAATCTACAACTTAGACAATTATAATTGAAGTATGGCAGTGATTACATTATTTCAGACACAATAATTAAAACACCTGGTTCAGTTCAATGTTTATCTTATTTATGCATTTAGGTAAATCTATAACCTATGCTTATTTGTTGCATTTTCAAATCTAGGATATCAATATACTTATTTAAACCATATTTTTCTAACAAACCATCTTATTTCTACTTGATTTTTTTTATTTACCAAGGTGTAAATGAAGAAATATTTGTGATCTATGACCCATACATTCCAATGTATCACTGTTAAGATGCATGTACTATCCAAATCAAGATTGTATTGACAAATATGCTGTCAATTTATTGATATGAGGCACATAGAAATTATTTAAATATGAATATTGGAACAACACACACATTAAAGGTACACTTACTGCAACTTCCCAAGACAAATGCACCACCATGAATGAATATTATAGCTGGTCTCTGCCTTTCAGATGTCATTTTTGGCAAGTACAGACGAAGAGGAATGCCACCAAAGTTTGTGTCAATCACTGTAATGTTTTCATCTGAAATTGGCTTTGTAAGGTGAACTGCTGTTGCAGTTAAAAATACTTCTTCATATTTCATAAGACCTATGTTTTCAAACAATGTGGCCTATAAACCAAGAAAAATTTTAAATATTATACATTTTTACTCTAATAACAATAAATACACATAGATGCATTGATACAAACAAAGACAGTGTGATGATACCCTAGAGAACTGATTTTTGTGTCCTCATATTATTTTGGTAGCATGAAAATCTCATTGTGGTTATCTGCATCCGACTTGAACAAGATTGAGTTCCCCAATAATTTATCAAGGATAAGGAATGGGTCAATAAAATCCCTTGTCTTCTTGAGAAAATATTGGTGTTTATGGGCTAATAAGGAGGGTGTCATTTTCTTGCATACCTGTTAATGAGTTGCCCTTGCTATAGCAAATAATCTCCTGCCAATGCTCAAGTAAGAAACTCTATTAAATTCATTGAATCTCACAAAAGAGTGAATACATTAAAGTAAGAGGGGGCTTTTTGAGAAAATGAATTCCAGTAGGCCCAGGAAGGAGTGGGAGTAAATGCATGAATCTGTCAAACAAGCAAACAAACAAACAATAAATGCTCGGAGATTGTCCTGGAAAATGCATCCCTACTTGCTGGCTTTTATAGGGCTGTAAGTTGCAAAGCATACTTTCAGAGGAGGAAAGCCATCAACAACCTTACCCAACAGTGAGCCCTGAGAACTACAATAGTCACTGGACTGGCAAGACTTGCCCAATCTTGCAATAGCCCTTTGAACATTATGGGAATAATCAACCATGCTCTTATTGGATTTAAGTTCCATTACACAAGACAAAACTCATACCTGACTGCATTGCTGGGTCATGAGCCTGAGAATAGCAGGTGATAGGCCATAGGGACGAACCTACTCCTGTCACTCTATCAAATGTACATACTACTAAACTGAGTGCTAACGATGTATTGTTACACCCGTACATTGGTGCACCTCTCAGTCCTCTTCTGAGAAAGTTCTGTTTGCAGCAGATGGTGATTAACACAGAAAGGCAAAGTAGGAGACTACTGAATACCCAGCTCTGATATCTATACGCTTGCATCTATATGGAACATCTCCACCGCTTTCTCTCCTGCCAAAGTTCAGAGATCATTGCAGGAAAGGGTACTGAAAGACTATGTAAGCCAGAGATGCTTAACACCTACAAAGAAGCAGTGTCTTCCAGACACAATATGGCAGTGTCGTAAATGAACCCAGTAATTGTGACAGTGTGCACAAGGACTGCACAAGCCTAAGTCAGACCCATGCCTGCTACAGAGAAAGAAGATGGCTGCAAAAATGCCACACTTAGCCTACCATCTGTTGGTAGTTTATAGACACTGGGAGAGGAGAGGAAGAGTCAGCTTCCTTTAAGGGTATTTCCCTGGGACATCCAGTGCATGATGGTCACACCATGAAGAGGATAGGGGAAGTACAAATCGGACTAGGTGAATGGGGGCAAAGCAGGAGGACACGAATCTAGATGAAGAAGTGTGGGTGAATCTGGAAGGAATTCATAGGAGGGGTAAATGTGGTCAGAAATCACTGTACACGGTTCCTAAAGAACTAATTTTTAAAATTACAAAATAATGGAGGAGACAGAGACCAAACTGACTATCTTGTCACCAAATGAAGCTTCCTGTACCAGCATTGGGTACATCTAATTGAGTTGTTCTCCCAAGGGGTCCTCAAACAATTCAGGCTGTTACCAAGACTCTAGCTTGTTCTCTATAAACTCACGG